ATGAGAGTGGCAGTGCCGATCTGCTTTTCCTGAAAGAGGGAAGACAGTCTGGAAGTTACACCTGACTGGAAATGAATTAAAAAACAATTTTTTAAAAACTAATTAAAATTTTGAGACAATGTCTCTGTCACTAAACCTTCCAGGATGGGCTTGAACTTGTGCTTCACCAGCCTCAGCCTCCAAGTAGCTGGGACAGGACGGCAGGTGCAGACATCATTTCTGATGGCATCATTTAAAACAAAATGAATCGGAGATCCCAGACTGGCTTGGGCTCACCAAGGACAAGGTCTCACATCTTCCTCTGGAGGGAAGCTGGGTTGGAAGAACAGAGACAGCATCTCGCAGCAGGCTCCTGCCCGACATCTGCGGTCAGGCCTGAGACAACGGCAGAGGTAGCCGGCTCAGATGGCACTTCTGCCCACCAGGCTGGGCCCGTGTTCCCGGGTCCTGGGCCCATGCACCCAGCAGGCGTCTCTAGCTGCCCCCGGTCAAGCTGTCTGCTCAGACACAAGCCTTTCAGAAGTGACTGCAGAGTACTGTAGATATTTCAACCCTGTGCTTCTCCTACTTCAGGGTACAAACCAGTTCATAACTTCTCCAGGTACAAAATGGGCATAGCTGACTTGCAAGGGCTCCTGTAGAAAGAGATTGGTGAGTTTTAGGTGGTTTCACCCTTGTCTAGAATGTGGTCAGGTCTGGTGGTGAACACTTATAATCCAGGCTGTGCAGGAGGCTGAGGCTGAGGCAGGAGGACTGCAAGTACTAGGCCAGCTGTGGCAACCAGGGAGACCATGTTTCAAAATAACATATAAAAAGATCTGAATATCCTGACCACAAGAATACAGAGGATAGAGATAGGGCTATCTAAGCCTAGGTGTGTGGGAGGGGACTCAGGAGCCTTCGGGACTCTGAAGGCACAGACCAGTCTTTGTCACCAGAGTGCAAACAAGAAGGGAAATAAGAAGGGAGAAGACATGGACAACAGACTTGGGGCCAGACGTGTTAACAGATCTGTCTTTAATAAGCACCTGCTTATAGAGCAGTAAGCTCTCATCACTGAGGGTGTGAGGGTGTGTGTGTGTGTGTGTGGCTGTTGATAAGGTCTAACATAGGGATACAGTGTAGAACCCAGGCTGGAAACTAGGGCTTCAAAGAGCCCTTCCAAAGGTATGCAGCTCTATCTCTGCAAAACCACCAACCACATCTGGTTTTGGCACTGGGAGACTGAGGCAGGAGGATCATGAGTTTGATGCCAGCCTGAAATGCACAGCAAGACCCTGTCTCAAAAGACACCTTGTCTGGTTGAGGCAGGACTGCTGGGCCAAGGGCCAGTCAGATGGAAGAGTGAGAGGAATGTTGGGTTGGGCTTCTCTGCCTCTCACCCGTGGGCCCTGCGTTGCCTGGAGCACTCTCAGGCAGGGACTGAGGGGAGTCTCAATTTGAGACTGCAAAGGGCCCACACAGAACTGCAGGGGGAGTGGCCATGCATGTGACAATGCCAGCCACCGCCCTCCATGCCAGTGACACTCATTCAGCCTCCCTCAGGCGACCTGCTGTTGGATGGACTGTCTTATCATCTTCCCCCAGTAAAAACCTGTTGCATAGACAACTGGTTGGCGTGTACACTGAACAAGAGTTGGGGGCACAGCAGGGAGGGAGGAGGACCCCCATGGTTGAAAGTTCTTGGATGCTGACCCATGGTGATTGCGTGTTCTTTCTTCACACGGGAATGGTTACCAGGCCGACTCGGGGCTGTTCAGAGCTTTCTGCTGGGCGGGAGAAGGCTGAGGGCAGGGGTGTCTGATCCCAGTGAATTATATCCTTCCAGCAAATCAGTTTCTCTCCTTCCTCCCAGTTCCATAAGAAGGGCAGATTCCTGCTCTCCCCTTTACCCCTGGGAAAAGATGAGGACTCTGAGCTCACCAAGGGCCCCATTTTTATTTATTTTTATGTATTTAGTACAGGGTCTTCAGGGTCTCACTACACAGATCAGACTCACAGTGATCCTCGTTTTTAGCCTCCCAAGTGCTGGGATTATAGGCTCACCACCATGCCCAGCCTGAGGGCTCCATTTTATTTTATTTATTTTATTTTTTTGGTGGAACCAGGGATTGAACTCAGACAATTCCACTGAGCCACCTCCCCAGCCCCAGGGCTCCACTTTAAATGTGCACCAGCCCAGGGCAAAGGCTCACAGGAGGGCAGGTGAGATCACACCAGGTCCTGTCTTCTGGCTCCCACCTTTGTCCTTTGGGATCAGGAGCCACCTTCCAACAACAGAAAGGCTGAGGCAGAAAGGATGCTCAAAAAGAAGCTGGGGAGCATATGGCCTCACCAGGAGCACAGAAGGGAGCCCCTCAGCCACAGCAGGGAAACTGAGCCCCAATAAAAGGCCCAGTAGGGGCTGGGGGAGAGCAGGGAGGGGTCCTGGGGTGGGGGACAGGTCCTGGCACGCACCAGCATTTCTCCAGGGCCCCTTCCCACCCCCACAGCCTCCCCTCCACACCTGGCCAGGCTCAGCTTGCTGGCAGTGCTGACCCACCAGAAATAGAACTATTTTTGTAATGCATATATTATTACATCCTTATAAAAGTGGCTGCCAGAAGGAAAACACTTTTATGTGCTGTGGTCACACAGATGTTCCACAAGGTAGTTCCAACTGCAGGCTGGAGTCAGAGCCCAGCCTGCCGCCTGTCCCCAGCAAGACCCTCTCCTCCTCCCTGTGGCCTGCACCAGGGGAGACACTGGAAAGCTCCTAAGAGGAATCTGTGTCTCATTCACACATGCATCTTCAAGTGGGGACAGCCAGGAGGGAGGGCTTGGTTAGAGTCGGAGCCACTTAAGAGCCCTGTGGCTACTTCTGACTCCAGTCCTGAGGCCCATGCTGGAGCCCAGCAGGAAAAGGGCCTCGGCCTGCCCAGGCCTTGATTTCCTTGCCTCTACCTCACACTGAAGGAACGAAGGTACAGAAAATGCCTAGAGTCATACTCGGCAGGACGGCAGCTCTTCTGGCTTGTTAAAACTGAGCTTCATTCCCAGGTCCCTCTGGCCTTGGAGTCCTGCTGGTTGCCAAGTCGTGCTGTGGGCACGAGGCTGGGTTGGAGGCCAGGACGCAGCCTGCTGCCACGCCAAGGACGGCTAAGGCTGCCCAGTGTAGGGCAATGTCTGGTCTGAAACTGTATACATTCTAGAAGGTCCATGGTAGCAGCAGTAACAGCTATCTTTATTGAGCACAAGCCCTGTGTTGAAATGGTTTGAGCTTTGAAAACAGACATCATCAACTCACCAGCGAAAACTGTCTTAAGAGAAGTGAGGCGGTTTGTCCAGGTCACATAGCTGGGAAGCTACTGGGCTAGGACCAGAACCAAGGTCTGAATGACTTGGAAAGCTGCTTGCTTCCACAAGACCTCTTGTTGGCTCCATTTCCTCTCTGCTCTTTACCAGAAAAGCCAAGGCTAAACCACAACCCAGAGCTCGGAAATGCCGAGCAGGGTCCATCTGGCCTCCTGTGTCTCCTGCTGGCGCCTCTGACGGTTCCTCTCTTGCCCTGTTCTCTGGATTCAGGGATGGTGACAGAGAGCTGCCTAACACCCACCCAGCTTTCTTCCTAAGGTAGGCACTGGGTCCTTGTGCCCCAGGTCATCTGACAAATGCCCAACAAACTGCTCTCAGGAGCCCAGCTGCCCTAGCGTGGCCACCCAGGTGACCTCTTGGGTGGCAGTGAGGAGCTGTGGCAGCTGCACACACTCCCAGATCTGCCCTGAGCTTGCTGGCCCGTCCTTTGTTCCCTGCATCTGGAAGGGCGGGCCAGGATTTCAGCCCTCTAAGGAAAATATACTGCCTGGCCAGATGAACTGCTGAGCCCAGGTCGGGGAGACCTCTGCTGCCACGACCCGCGACAAGGGCTGCGGCTGGGGCTCTCTTGCCTGAAGACACATCAGGGAGCCTGTGGCTGCATGGGAAGACGGCTCTGCCTGCAAATGACTGGCCTGATTTCTCCGCTCGACAAAACATTCCACCTTCATGTCTAAATATTTAGAATTAAAAAAAAAAAATCAAACGAACATCTGCAGGGCCCTTCCCCGGGTGGGAGACCTTGGATCTCTTTCCAGAGATTTACGGTCTGCCTTTCCCACGTCTGCTGTGACACAGGACAGGACCCCAGCGCAGCTTCCTCCTCAGCATGCTGGTACTTGGCACATAATCCTTTTTCCCTTGCCCCAGGCCTTCCCCCACTGGGGCTCTGAGGAGCGAGCCAAGGGGCACCTTTGCTCGCCTCCCTGCTTCCTCACAGGAGGGTCCCCCAAATGGGCAGGGATCTGCCTACACACTTCACTCTGTTTTTTAACCCACACTCCAAAGAAACAGCCCAGGATGGGGTGACAAAAGGCCACAGTGAGGGGGTGGCAGGGGCCCTGGGAGCTCATACCCGGGTGTGCCTGACCAGCTGGGAAGTGCAGCTGTGGCCATTCATCACTGTGACAGGGACCACCGAGAGCTGCGCTCCAGCTCATTCGAATGCTGGTGCTTCCCAAAGCCACCAAGCTGAGAAAGGCTGGGACACGGGCAACTGGAGGTGCCCTGGAAGTGACTCCGATGAGAAACACCAGCAAGGCTTTCTGGACACTTCTGCAGGCAGGGCCAGAAAATGAGAGCTGGGAGGGCTCCTGAGAGCTGGGCAGAGTGTGTGTGAGCGTGATGGCGAGCAGGGGGAGTGCCCACAGGAAGCCCTCAGCCTGCTGCTGCAAGGACAGTGCAAGGCAGGGGGAGGATGACACCCACAGGAGCTGGGCTCACACCCCAGGGCTCACGCAGCCCTGGCGGCTCAACTCCACACACCCGCCCTGCCGCTGCTGTTCCTCCAGCCTCCTGCCTTTGCCCTCCTTCCTGCCCAGAGCTGATGCTCACTTCTTTGCTGACCTCCCCCGTAAAGATCCTTGGCTCTCTGAGGGCTTCCCAGGGCGAGGCCTTAAACCTCTTACCTGGGTGGGTCTAATGGCCCCTCCTGTCAGCCAGCTTCTGGAAATGTGAACGTGGTCACATCACTGGACCACCGACAAAGCCGAAGGCCCTTTTTGCTCCCTCCCCAGGGGCAAACGGATCTCTAGTACTTTTTGCTCCCTCCCCAGGGGCAAACGGATCTCTAGTAGTCTACCTGTCCGCTGGTGCCTGTAACGCAGGGCCTGCCTAGGAGAAGCTGACTCGCAATTTGAACATCTATGTAGCATCTACTGCACAGCAGGCACAGAGAACAGTTTCAGACCAAGCAAGTGTGGCAGACTAGAAAACACATTTCTTTTTTCCAGTCAGGCAACTCTAGGTTCAAATCCTAGCCCTGCCTCTGCTGGTCATGTCACCAGGGACAAACTATTTAACAGCCACGTCTCAGTGTTCTCACCTCCAGGCGGGACAGCAACTCCACCTTGAGTATCGCTGAATCCAAGGAGCCGAGCGGCACAGCCATGCACACTTGTGGTGCACTGCTCGCTCGCCCACTGTTCCGGGAACCCTCGTCTCCCATCCGAGGCAACTCCTGACACTCTCCCAGGGCTCATCCAGGAGTCACAGCTACCACCCTCAACCCTTGATTCCCGCTTGCTCAGAGCTGCGAATCGTTAATGTAGATTTGTCTACCTCCCCACTCCCCCAGGCCCCTTTACAATCACTGGAAGTGAGTCCCAGCTTCAATGCACCTCAGATGAATTATGGGATCTGACTGTTAAGAATGATGACAGAAACACGAATTTCCTCATTAAAGCCCCAAGAGCAAAAGGCAATGCAAACAAGGCCCGTGGCCCCAGCCAAGGTGTGCTGAGGACAGCCACTCATCAGGCCTGCATTTGGCTTGGCAGGAGCCGCTGCTCAAGGCAAGCCGGAACCAGACGCTGGCTGTGGCTGACAGCTCTGATTTAAACTATTAGGAAGGCTGAGGATTAAATATTTGTGCAGGTCACTGTATACTTGGGTGGAATTATAAACAGGTGGGAATGGTTAAGTGACGCAGTGCTGCAGGAAGTAGTCTCTGGATATAGATTTGGGGTTCTCCACTCACCGCCAGGGATCAGGGTGTGGGGAGGTGGGCAGTGGAGAGATTGGGTGCCTGGGGGTGCAGCTGGCCCTCTCAAAGGCCATTTCCTGGCAGTGGGATGGGCTCTGCTTGGTTCTGGGTGGGGCAGGGACAGCCTTGTCCAGAGGTCAGACAAGTGGACCCTGTGCTCCAGCTGGACTCTGGCTGAGACAGCAGAGGTGGCAGGGTGGGGGTGGGGTGCACGTGAGCCTAAGGCTCCAACACACATTCCAAGGCCGGTGTTGGCCGACACCAGCCTTGCACAACCATTTTTCGAATGTATGATGTTGTTCCAACTAATACAATACAAACTCACTTAAGAGTTACTAACTAAAAAAAAAAGTTACTAACTGATCCTGTCATATTTCTTTTTCCTATCCAGAGTTATTAAAAGCGTGATTATCTTTTTTTTTCCCCTTCTGTGGTGCTGGGAACCAAACCTAGGGTCCTACACATTTTAGGCAAGAGCTCTGCCACTGAGGCCCACTCTCAGCCCAAGTGTAATTATTTTATTGAGAAAAAAAAATCTGACATTAAGGGACATGCTCATACTCAAAAGCGAGGCACTCTAGAAGGGGACAGGACGCCTCCTGAGGACAAGTGCTGCCTCTGACACCTCGTGCTCTGGGCTTCTCCTGCCCCCTTTCCCCAAAGCTTCCTGTGAGAAGGTGCCTTGAAGGCCTCTCAGAGGGGTCAAGGTCTTAAACATGAGCTTCCCTCCAGATGGGGAATCAAGGGTCTTAAACCTGCACAGATGCTTCCAGTGGTGTCGGGGGCAGACACGGAGTGCAGTCGGGTGCAGAGGCAGGCAGTGTCCCCCAGTGCAAGGTCCGACTTCAGTTTAGACACAGCGAGGAACGGACATTAGGCGCTGGCTGCTAGTGATGCCCAAGGGTAAGGTGAGTGAGAGAAATGGCTAAGTAGCATTTCTTCAGTTTTAAGGTACACACAGAATTCCTTGGAGAATTTCACTAAAATGCAGTATTTTAGCATTTCTGAAAAGCGCTCTTGAGGTGAGGCTGGTCCTCAGACTGGGCTGAGGTGGCCAGATGTAGAGACCCTGGGCTGCAGATGGACGAGCGACTCACGGAGGGGCAGGCTGGCTTGGCCAACAGCACCGCACTGCTTCCTGGAGCATCACTCGAGCCTGTGCGGAGGGCTGGCCAGCCTTGAGGAGGAGAAACTATGGCCAATCCTGCCGTCACTGTGTCCTGCTCCAGCAGGGAGCCAGTAGGGAAGTGGCAGGTGTGTGCAGCTGTGAGGGGTACAGAGGGCACAACGCCCCCGCAGGTGGCAGGCTGACTGCTGGCCGAGATGAGCACCCCTGGTGGGGCACGCTGCAGAAGGCCAGCTCTGAGGCTGTCACCTGTGGCCACTGGCAAGCAGCTGGGAATGTGAACTTACCTGTCTGGTGAGGCTGCCGCCGAGGTTCATGGTGCCCGAGCCAGACTTGTTGGTTTGCAGCCAGAGCATCACTGTGGAGGTCAGCTTGTAGTGGGCGTTGCGGCCACTGGACTTCTCCTGGGGGAAGAGGGGAAGAGGCGTAGATCAGAGCCCGAGGAGCAAAGCATGCCGAGGAGGGCCCTGAGTGTCTCCTTCAGTTCAGGCTGTTCTAACATGTCCTCTCCTAGAACATCACAGTGTTGTCTCCATTAAAAATCCAAACTGGGCTGGTGAGATGGCTCAGTGGTCTAAAAGCACCTATTTAGAACAAGCGTAGCAAAGCACAGGGACCGTGGTTCAATCCCCCAGCACCACATGCCAGCCAGCCCCGCCCCCTGGTGGGCTGAGCTGGCCCCCCCCCAATTTAAAAATAAATAAATCATCATAAAAATAATCCAAACTGGTGGGATTTTCTCGTGATGGTTCTTTTTTTTTTAAGTGTGTATGTTTTCGGCACGTGCAATTTACAATCATCTTGGGACTAGGTATATATGCACAATGCAGCTTTGGTTTTTTTTTCCTAATTGGTTTTTAAGGAGGCAGAATCTGCAATCCTGTGTATTAAGTTGTTGCAGGATCTTTGTTATCATGGACTACTGCAGCCTTGTATTGCTCAAAATAGATTTGGAGGAATCAGTAGGGGTCTTTGTATCCCGGCAGAAACCTCTTATAAAACGGGCTCACGGGTGGGGGTGTGCACGGGGAGGCCCGGGCCACCAGCTGCGGGGGCGGTGGTACCTGCACTTCTACCACATGGATGGAATCCCAGCAGCCTTTGATCTTCTTTGATCCATCTCCAGCCTTCTTTATGAGGATCACTCCAGCAAACCCATGATCCAGATCCCAGAGGTAGACAGATGAGACGCCGCCTTCAAAATACCTGCAAGAGACAGCCACGCGCCCGTCAGACGTTAAGAGATCTTGGACCAGGTCTCAGGCTGTCTTTTGGCAATGATGTACCCAGACACCCATCTGGAATTAAGGACTCTCCTTGTGATGGTTCTAGACCTATCTTTACATCCCAGTCATTTTTAAGGGGTAACAGAAAGAATGTAAGCTTACAGGTATCAGTGGAAGCCTGAGTTTGAGCTTTGCCTTTCTGGCAAGACTAACTTCTCTGGCCTTTAGATTCCTCCCTGATGAAGAACCTGGCACTGTCTGTGACACACAGCAGACAGCGAGTGGAAGCCACTGCTACTGGGCTGATCTTCATCATAAATGATGCTAGTCAGCAGTTCTACCTTTTGGGATTCCTATTTGAATGGGGAAATGGAGAATCACAGCAACAAATTCCATCCCACATCCCCAGTCCCACCCACCCCAGGAGGGTCAGGACCCCTGGTGGCCTTTCAGTCATTTGCTGCAAAATCCTAGCCAGAAACAATGAGCTCAATGTGGGACACCGCTTCTCGCCAGATCCAAGTCGATATAGAAAGATTCCTAGTTATGACCAAATGGAGGAGGGAAAGAAAAGGCCAGGAGAATAGGCCATCAGGCTGGGCTTGCAGACCCAAGAGACAAAGGTGACTGTTGTGACAGACAGAGGCTGCTGTGAGTAGAGACACAGGAATGGAGTGAGCTGGTGCAGAATCTCAAACTCTGCCGATAGCTGACTGTAATTCTGGAAAAATTAAACTCAGGGCCAGCGCATGCTTTACCTGATGGTCCGGGGGCCCTCTGACACCAGGGAGGCCGTGAATGAACAGTGCAGCCCGTCCGCTGGGGGAGCGGGGCAGGTGGCCAGCAGTGTGTGCCGTGGCCTCAGCTCACGTGCTCACCTACCCAACAGCAATTAGCTCAGAGCAATGCCCAGGGACCAGTGTCGAGAGCCCGGACCACACAGGCAGCGCCTGCTTTATCAATAGCTTAGAGACTAAAGCAAAATAAAGAAGCTACCTGACAGATGATTACGGTTAGTTTTAATATGAAGTACTGAAAATTAACACGCATCTGTGGATTATATCCCAATAGAACTGTAATATGATAAAATACATCCTCAGGGTAAATGTTAGTATTTAGAAAGCATGGATGAAGGATAGAGAATTCTTCATGTAACTGCTCCTGTGTATCTACAGGTTCCACAGCCTTGAGTCAATGAACTTTGGGTTGAAAATATTTGGGAAAAGGCGGGCATCTGCACTGAACATGAACAGACTTCTCTGCTGGTTGATATTATCTAAATAACAGTACGACTGCAGCAAGCCACTTTCCAGACTCCCTTCGGTCCCTCTTAGGCAAAAGCTTTCTTTGTCTCAATAAATTCTTCCCACTCTAAAAAAACAAAAAACAAAACAAGAATGCAACTGTTTACACAGCCATTACACTTGCTTAGGTATTGCTCGTACCCTGGAGACGATTTTAGTGCCCAGGGACACGCGCGGGTCATGCGCGGTCGCGGCAGCACTTTATGTAAGGGCCTTGCTCATCTAGGGACTTGGTTTCCACACAGGGTCTTGGAACCGATGCCACACAGACACTTACAGCTAACTATACTCTGTTTGCAATTTTATGCAAAAGTCTAAAACTGCCTAAAAAAAAAAAAAATTAGGTTAGTACACGAGCTATGCTAAGGCGTGACACAATCAGACCAAGGAAGCAGCCCCTGCCCCTCCGACACGCCGACACATGAGGGTGCTGAAGCTTTTTCACCTCCTGCCCTAACCCACTGCAGACCACAGAGTACTTGGGGTGACGGGCTTGGTGCTTAGGTTGGCGGAAGCTCCGTCCCTCCAAGACTCTGAAGGTAGACCGGGGCCAGCCTCTGCTACAGGACCATTCCACTGCTCTGTCCCACACACCCACAGCGATCAAGCTGTCCAAGGGGATGCGCAGCCTGCCTCCACTGGCAGGAGCCAGCGCAGGAGCCATCAGGGAGCATCTGCTCTAGGCATCAAGGAGCCAGATGCACGGCGACAAGCTGGCCACACTGCAGCATGTGGCCTGGCCCTGCAGCCTCAGGGGTGTGACGTGGAGTACGATGTCTCTTCACCTGAACTGTCTCTAAACTTCTCTTCCTGGGATGAGATAAGATGCGTTTTGATGGAAAATCCCAGGTCCTACCTCGCTGTGTAGTACAACCCAGGTGTGGACGACCCCTCGTAGGGTGAGCATGTACTGGACTGTTCCTGAGCTATTCTGGGACATGTGGAGATGGGTTGGTCACCACTAAATTCAGAGTGGTGCTGGAGTCCTCTATGCTCTTTTACAGTGTTCGAGCAACACACAGTATGGATTAGCCTAGGAGGCCAGAGGGAACAGCAACACTCAGCAAGCCTTCTGCTGCCCTTCTGGCTGGGGATGGTACCTATGCTGGCGAAAAAGCCAGGCTGGTAATTCCTCCTGGCCACGCTGGGGCAAGGCCGGAAGCCCAGTGGTATCTGGCTGTGTGCACCAGCTGCAGCAGCGCCGCTCTCCTGTGTCCTGGAGTACCGGTGGGAGGGGTCAGGCTGCCCTGCAAGGAACCAGGAAGAATCCTGGCAGCTTGGTAGTCCGCATCCACACTATTCCATGGCCAATTCCAGAGCACCAGGTGGCCTAGACTGAGCCCCGTGGTCCTACACTTTCATGTTTTTCCAGAAAAATAAAGCACCAGCATTAATGTTTTATAGGATGGAACTGGCTGTTTCCACTCAGTGCCCCACCCTGTGGCCGGGGCTCCTGCCCTGGACAGCTTCTCTCTGCCATCCTAGGCTACTCCAACGGGTCACATAAACCAGGCCTAATGATGCCAAATGTTGGAGAGGAAGAAGGTAAAAATGAAAGCCCAACTACAACCTTCCTGTGGGTTATTCTTTAAAAAAAAAAAAAGGCAAAAACATTTTTAAAAAATACAGCCCATAATCCCTCAGTGCATCCCATAAATCTGATTTTTCCAAAGTCCCTTCCAGACTTTGTCCAGATGCCTAATCTTTACTTAACGACGAGTACAACAATGGCTACTATGTTGAGCTCAGCTTTTTTCCACCTGGCACCTACTGATGATCACTTTCCGATGGAGCCATAATCACTGTCAACAGCTGGGGTGGTAAGGGCTGGTGAGATAGCTCAGTAGACTAAGTGCCTACTGAGGCAAGCATAAGGACCAGGGATTGATTCCCAGCACCACATGCCCTGCCAGTCCTGCCCCCTGGCACACTGAACTGGCCACTGAGACTGGGCATAGGGACACATGCCTGTAATCCCTGACTTGGGGAGGCTGAGACAGGAGGATCACTACTGGGTTGGAACTGCGTAGTGAGACCCTGTACCAAATACATTTAAACACAAAACAAAAAAACAAAAAAAGAGCTGTGGTAGTATTCCATCTGGCAGGATCCTAATTTACAGTAGATTTGACTTTTAATAAAGAAATGATGGCAGTGGAATTAAGAGGCGGTGCCGCTGGCCTCACTTTGAATGTGTTCTTCTCTGAAGGAGCCGGAGTGCTCCCTCCTGAGGTGTGGTAGGCATGCTGGGACGTGGCCTCCTCTGGCATGGCCCAAACACCACAACAATGCAAGAATGGACTTGCATTCCACATGCCGAGAGGGACCTCTGAGGACTTGGGCGGCCACAAGTCTCAACGTGATGTTCCAAGACAAAGGCCGCAGGACTGAGGGATTAGAAAGGCTGCCTGGGACTCGCCCACAAGCCCTGGCCTCCCCGGTGGGCGCGCGCTGGCAGGTGGGCTCCTGCACAGTCAGGTGAGTGGGGACTGCAGGGTGCAGACAGCGCCCCGCCCCTTTATACTTCACGGTTTTACTCTGTGCGTGAAGCATTAATTAAAGAGGGACCTCAACAAGATTTTGAAAATTTATTCTTACCTACTGTGCTTTGATCATAATGACATGAAACAAGGAAAAAAATAATTTTTATGTGGCTCACATTTATGAGTTTTTACATAAAGGCTTTTGTGGGTATTTTAAGAATGTGCGAAAACGTTGTCTGAAACCACATGAAGCCATCTGAGAAGTCACCGCCAGAACTAACGGCACACACATGGAAGCACTTTAACGGGCCTTTGTATATGTAATGAGTCAAATAGTATTAATATTGTTTAAATGCTAACACACTATTTCAATAAGGTGGCTCTTCCCGCTCTTGGGCCCTGCAAGGCAACATGAACGGTCGAATGTGGCCAGGAGTGGAGAGCAGGCTACAGGACTAAGCCACCCTGCTGGAGTTCGAGCTCTGCCTGTACCTGGCCATTGCACGATCCCCAGCTCTCCGGGAAGTGAGGATGGGCCCAGGACTGAATGCCACAGCTCAGCTAACGGGGTTGGAGAGGGAAAGCCCAGAGCTGCAGCAGCAGGGGCTCCAGTCATGGGGTGGTGCAGAGAACACATGCCAACCGCAGGCCTGAAGATGAAAGCATGGGCTCTGCTTGGGTCTCCTACCACGGTGGGAAGCTGGGCAACCCAGGGCTGCGCTCAGCACACTTGGGTCTGCCTAGGTGGTGAACAGGATGCCCCCTACACCAAGGCATGTAATAGTCAAGATTCCAGAAATAACACAAAAATAGAATATTAAAGCTGTTAGAGAAAAGAAACTTAGAGAAAAAAAGTCACCTATAGAGGATAGCCCATAAAAATCACAGCAGAGTTTTCAACACAAACCTACAAAATCAACGAGACAACAACCTCCAGTCCATACTGATGTACCCTGCAAAATCATCTTGGACAAGGGTTGAACACAATGTGGTAGGATCTCAGACAGCTAGCTCTAGGATGTCCAGAGTGGGTAGAGTGACAGTGACACAGATCAAAAGCCTAGAATCACTCCTGCTGTCTGTAAACTGCTGTCAACAAACAGAACTGATGGCTCCCAGCAAAGATTAACGGTTGCTAAGGCAAAAACGTCCTGCAGAGGCTTCAGACAGCTGGGACTAAGGCAACGGAGCCG